GCCAGGCATGCTCCAGGTTCTTATGATCGAGCTGAACCGATCAGACTTTCCTCCTAAGAATTTGGAATTGGGTCTCAGAGAGACTCAGTCCTTAGAATCAGTGCCCAGAAAAGAACAAAATCTTACCATTTGTGACAGCATGGATGGACCTAGAGGATATTATGCTGAGAGAAGTAAGTCAGAGGAAGACAAATACCATATGATTTTACTTATATGTGGGATTTAAAGAATAATATAAATGAATAAACAATACAGAGACAGACTCATAGATACAGGGAACAGACTGATGGCAGCCAGGAGGGAGGGGGCTGGGTAAAATGGGTAGAGGGACTGAGAATTGCAGATGGATAATTAGAAATAGTCATGGGGACATTATATAGTCAATAATATTGTAATAACCATGTATAGTGCCAGGTCGGTACTGAAAATATCACGGGGGGTGGGGGGAGCTTTGTAAAGTTTATGATTGTCTAACCACTATGCTGTACTCCTAAAACGAATGCAAAATAATATTGAATCTAAACTATAATTGAAAGAAAACAATTTTTTCAAAAAGAGAAATAAGATGAGTTGCACACAAGGTAGAGTACTCAGAATTAAGATTTATTAACTCTTAGTGTTGATATCCCAGGAGACACCTGCTTTCTTAGAATTCTGAGTATTTCATTTTATTTATTTACTTTTTTAAAAAAGTGATTGTGGTATAATTTGATAAATATAACTGAAAGATATTTAAAATATGCATTGTGATAATTTGAAATACGTACATGGTGTTAAAGGATTTTTTCCATTGAGTTAATACATCCATTACCATTTTTTCTTAAGGTGGAATATTTAAGATGTACTTTCTTAGAAAATTTCAGCTATAAAATGAGTCATCAATTACAGGCACCATGTTAATATTATCATCAGGCCTTATTCATCTTGTAAGTCAAAGTTCGTACCTTTTACCATTCTTTCCTTATTCCCCTCCACCAGCAGTTCCTTTTCTGTTGTTTCTATGATTTCAACTTCTTTTTCAAGATTCCATGTATAAGTGATACCATGTAGTATTTCTTTGTCTTACTTATTTTACTTAGCCTAATATTCTCAAAATCTATCCACATTGGTGCAAATGACAGTATTTCTTTATTTTTTTTTAAGCCTGGAGATTATATATATATATTTTTTTTTTCTTTATCCATTTATCAATCTACAGACACTTAAGTTGTCTGAGTACTTTTAAATATTCATTGAATTACATGAGATGTGTATCTTTATAATATCTCCCTTCTCAATCTGATCACAGGTTGTATTTGAGAAAGATCAAATGATTTCCTGTTCTTTGGTACCATAAAATTCTCATAAATTAGACAGTTATTTTTTTGTCCGATAACAAATTGAAGGTTAAATAGGTTGTCAAAAGTCACCCGACTAGGAAGAGGCACAGTCTGAACACAAGATGAAAGAATAGCCTAAGGGGAATAATTATTTTTGTAAAGAAAGGAGCATTAATAACAATGATATTCTTTGATAATAATGGGTTCTTTAAATTTTAGCTTCATAGAATGTGGGGAGGGAAAAACGATTCAATTTTAGCTCAGAAAATATATTATCAATTGAAGTTGAAGAGTTAAGATAAATAGTTCTGTTTCTCAAGATACAGCAGGTGCACCTGCTGCCCTTTGCTCTCTGCGTCTCCATGTCTCCATGTTCCCATGTCCCCATCTCCAAGAGGGGGCATTAGTGAGATTCACTTCCTCACCTCAAGTGAAGCAAGTTGTTGTCCCCGATGGAGAAACAAGAAACCTATGCTGGTAATATTTTGAATTAGAAAAACATTCTTCTAAACAGGACTTCTTTTCACTGGTCTTTGGAAGTCACTTCCAGTACTGATATAGCTATAGTTACCACTAATTTAATTATGCTTCTTGAATGGGTTATGTTTTTTTAAATTTATTTCTTTTTTGAATCCTTGCCCGAGGGTATGTTTTTATTGATTTGAGAGAGAGAGAAAGTGAGAAGGATAGAGAAAGAGAAACACCAATGTGAGAGAGAAACATCAATCAGTTGACTCCCATATGCACCCCAACCGGGGATTGAACCTGCAACCTGGGTATGTGCCCTGGCCAGGATTCGAACCCGAGAACTTTCCATGCATGGGATGACACTCCAACCTACTGAGCCACATGGGCCAAAGCTATGTTTTACTTCTAGAATTCCTTGGGAATGATTACAATTTTATGACTACTTTAAGCCTTTCTCAAGGGCATAATTTTTACAAAGCAATCAAGAGCAAACATTAGGTAAGGCCAGGGTCATTCATCCTCCCCTCTCCTCTCTGCACGCAGTACTTTTATGGAGCATTCAAAGCTGTGGGGAGTACACGAAACCATTTCCTCTTGCTGCTGCTACGGCCTCCCCTACCAGACTGTTCATCAATTATGCCAATTACAGTTGAATGGTACTAGAAAGTGCAAAGGGTAAAATATGAATCAGTGTGTGATTTTAGTGCTTGATTTTTGTCTAGAATTTTGTATACCTTTAGGGTTATTTCTGCTCCAAAACAAAGTATCTATAAAAAGTATCTGCCTTATTATTTTTATTTCGCACCACAGAAATTGAATACCTCAAAGGTGGCACCCATGCAGAGCTCAATAGCCTTTTATATTCAAAACATGTATGTGCCGTATAATAAGATGCACCATGAGCTAAATAAGAGACTTCCCCATGTAAATGTTGAGCCTGCTAGGGAATGAAATGGACACCCATCCACCCACCGCCCAGCTTGACAAATGAGCATTAGGACAGCCTGCAGCCCCTGAGCCTCTGCCAGGTCTACCCTGCAGTCACCTAGAGGCACCCGGTGTCTGCACCCTGCACTGGGTGCCCACTGGTTCTTTGTTTTATTAGTTACCCACTTGATGTATATTTTAACAAACTATTGATCAGTTTTACATATGTTTGAGTTGTGTAACTGTAGAATCACTGTATATTTTTCAAAGCTTTTGTGCTCAGAATGACTGAGAAATGCTGCCCTTTGCGCTACGTAGTGCGCTGTGAATTCATCCTGTCCCTGCATCACTCATTCTTACTACTGTACAGCATCAGACTGCATGATTATTAAGTAATGCATTTACTCTGTTGATAGACATCCATTTGGGTTGTTTGAAATGTGTTGCTGTTACAGAGAATGATGTGGGAACATTCTCATACCAGTCTCTACTGCCACATGCAAGAGATTCTCCAGGGAAAGGGTTCTCCTTATAATAAAGCACAGGTATTCATGTGCCAGACTGGAATGAAGCTGGATCTGCTCACAGGACGAGGTGACGTAGCCGCGGGCTCTGGCTGCCCTGGGCCCTGCCCTTCCCCTGCGGCCTGAAGTGGGGGTGATCTCAGCACACCGTAGCCGATTCATGGCATCAGTGTAACCAGATGATACCCAGGAATGAATTGTGAAGCCTCTGGGAATTAACATCTTCATTTTTCCTCAATAATGCCAAGTAGTTTTTTGTTGTTGTTGTTGGTGGTGGTGGGTTTTGTTGTTGTTGTTGTTGTTATTGATAATCTTCACCCGAGGATATTTTCCCATAGATTTTTAGATAGAGTAGAAGGAAGTGAGGGAGAGAGAGAGAGAGAGAGAGAGAGAGAGAGAGAGAAACATCGATGTGAGAGAGACACATCTACTGGCTGCCTCCTTCATGACCCATCCAGGGCTGAGGGTTGAGCCTGCAACTCAGATATGTGCCTTTGACTGGGAATCAAACCCAAATCCTTTTGGTCCACAGATGGATGCTCTAACCACTGAGCCAAGTCGGTCAGGGCTTCAATACGACTATTTTTGAAAACAGTCATGTTAAAGTAGCAGCAAGAAACAGATGTTACAGTTAAACAAGGCTAATTGAAAAGAATATAATAAATACTAACTTGATAATATTAACTAAGTATATGAATATTTTAAAAGTTGTAGGCCGAGGAGAAAGGAGGGCAAGGCCTCCAGCTGGACTCTGAGAGCTGCCCCTCACCCTGCGGAAGATGGAACAGAAGGGCTGGGCTGACACACTCGCTGACCACACTCGCTGACCACACTCGCTGACCACACTAGCTGACCACACTCGCTGCAGGAGAGAGCGACCCGACGGCATCGCGGCCCTAAGTAGAGAGACAAAAGAATAGCCACAGTGCTCCTCACCCAAAGTTGACACCTGTCAGGAAGGGAGCCAGGGAAGTAAAAACTCATTCAGCTGCCCTCACACCTTCTGATCTGCTGGTTCTCCCATTCATCAAACCCATGAGAGCCAGAGGTCAGGAATTCAGAGAAGGATGGAGAAAAGAAGAGAGGGGATACAAAGGCAAATGAAAAGTGTGGCAGTAACAGCAATTTACGTTCCTGCTAGAAAGGTATCACTGTGCTTGCCAGCACTCTGTGCTATGCATGGGCCCCATCGCGGAGCCCTTCCCTCTCCATTCATTTAGATGTTTAAAAGTCGTTTAATAAGTCCGTATGCTTTTCACCACAAAGATTTGGTCCATTTTTTGTTAATTTAGTCTGTGATATAGCAGTGAATGAATCAGGAACTCAACTAACCAGGATAAAATGGTTGTTTCAGCGAATGCTGTTATGGTTTTAATAAGGTTGTGCGTGTTTTCTAAGCTTATTGGACATTTTTATCTTATAAGTTTTCTTTTCATTTTTCCATTTTTTTAGTTGTTATCTCTTTATATTTTGATGAATTCATTAAATATATTGGATATGAATTCCCTTTTACTACCTAGATAGCACATATTTTCTCTGAGCTTGTGAAGCTTATAAACAGAAGTTCTTACTTTTATAATAACTTAATGATTACTTTTTTGTTCACACATTTTTCAGTGGCTATGTGTATTTTAAGAAATCCTTTTCTGCCCTGGTACAATTCCATCTGGTGCGTCTTTTCCACCGAACAGAAGTCATCTATGTCTCTGTCCACCTTCTCTGTCATAAGTGTGTGCTACCACCCCCTGGAGATTCGGTGGCCATGGGTGTGAGCCCTCCGAGGCCCCAGAACTATCTTTTTGGTTGTGAACTAAAGTCCAACAAAGATGATCACCTTAAGGTGGATAATGATAAAAATGAGCAGCAGTTATTTTACCAATGGTCAGTGTAGGGGCTGGTGCAAGGATGAAGCAGAGGCAATGAATCATGAGGCAGGCCCATTACAGGAACATCAGCAACTCGGGAAAGGTCTGTACAGCCCACAGTCCCCTTAGTGGCTTTGAAATAACCACCTCTGGTCTTTTGGTAGCAAGTTTCCACAGAAAAAAGCAAAATTTGCTGCTAATGAAGATGATGAGGATGATGAGGACAACGATGATGATGATGAAGATGATGATGTTGATTTTGAGGATGAGGAAGCTGAAGAAAAAGCTCCAGGAAAAGAATCTCTACGAGATACTCCAGGAAAAAATGCACAAAAATCAAACCAGAATGGAAGAGACTCAAGACCATCAACACCAAGATCTAAAGGTCAAGAATACTTCAAAAAACAGGAAAAAATTCCTAAAACACCAAAAGGACCTAGTTCTATAGAAGTCATTAAAGCAAAAATACAAGCAAGTATAGAAGAGGGTGGCTCTCTTCCCAAAGTGGAAGCCAAATTCATCAATTATGTGAAGAACTGCTTCCGGATGACTGACCCGGAGGTGATTCAACGTTTCGGGCACTGGAGGAAGTGTCTTATAGAAAATAGTTTAAACAGTTTGTTAAAATTTTTCATCTTATTTTATTTCTGTCACAGCTGATCCCTGGCAGTCCTTTTTATAATGCAGAGTGAGAACTTTCCCAACCATATCTGATAAATGTTGTCCAGGTTCCATTACCAAGATGTGTTGTCCAAAATGCCTGTTTCGTTTTCAAAGATGGAACGCCACCTCTGCTTGGTTTTAAGTACATATGGAAGGTTGATCGGACATAGTAGTAACGGTCAAATGGGAATGGTGGGGAGACAGATACATGTGTGAAATAAATGCTATTGTAATAAAGTAGCACTATTTCCATTTAACAAAAAAGAACTGCTTTTCTTCAAGTTATAAATGTATTCTCTGATACTCTTCTCTAAATTATCAAAATTTAAGTTTTTCTTCCATCTGGAATGGATTGGCCTTCATCTTTCCTTTGTGAAAAGCTATCGAACAAGTTAGTAAATATTTTCATTGATATAGAATTTTTTAAATTATCCTTTTCTTCGATTACTTTTAAAATGCTATGTTGCTTTTAAGTTTTTCTACAATTTATCACTTTCATATAAATTTTAATATTTACTGTCATAAAATTGTCCAAACACTTAGGTGGTTTTTTGTTTGTTTTTAACCCATCCCTGCTGCCTATGTAGCCCTGGCTCCCTTTCCTCCTGTGGCCTTGTGCCTTGGTCCTTTTGCTCTCTCGCTGTCTGTCGGGTCCCTGGTGGCCAGCATGTCATCATGGGGCATTTTACATAAAAATATACACAGTTGTGAGTATGCAAAACAGAGTTTATTCTTGTATTATTATTTATTAACTATTGTATTATTTTTCATACAAGCAACTATAAACCTACTTTTGCCCCACCCTGTATGTGTATATATATAAAATGTCTAATGATGTGTTGTTGACACTATTTAATCTTCAGACATATATATGTACATATATGTATATGTAACTTCGATATATAACATCTATATCTGAATTTATAAATTCTCCTTTTCTCTTTACAGAGAAAATCAGAATAGTAGGCAAACAGAGTACATCAAAAGAGAGTGGTGACTGGCAATGATGAAAACAAGTATAAGAAGTTAAATGTATTAAGTAATTATAAGTTTCTGAGATGAATTCTTACACTTTTTCATTTGCACTCTTTTAGAGGAGAAAAAATTGTTCAGGTAAGTCAGTTTTGTTGCATATTCGCAAATAAATTGAAGATTTAGATCAACTATTAAGAAAAGAACTGGAAGGAATTATACCCGTTTTTAAATAATTACTGAGAAGTTAGGGATTTTTATTAGAAATTCCACCTTGTATAGGTAATTCTGAGAAATATGTGTAAACTGAAGGAAGGGAAAAAAAGACCTTCAACATTAGGGACAGGAAGAGGCAGGAGCAGAGAAGAGGGGAAAGTTGGGGGGGGGGGGGCATCTGTAATACTTTTTAACAATAAGGATACATTTTTTAAAATGACATACAAGTAAAATTTTTAAATGATTACTTAATTAAATAGCAAATGACTGGGTGAAAAAATTGAAAAAAGAACCTAGTGAGTTTCTAGGACCGAGAGCCTAGTGAATTTCAAAATTTTTAAATGAGGCTTACTCTCAGTATAGAAATTATTGAAAAAAATTTTTGCCGCTTATATCATTTAAGTGACCTTTTCTTTCCAGCTACAGGTTTCCTCTCTCTCTCTCTCTCTCTCTCTCTCTCTCTCACTCTCCCTCTCTCTTTCTTTTATTAATAATGTCTACCTGAGCTGTCCGCTTCCTATCCTGAAATCAGCTTCATGGCTTCGTGCGAACAACCACCCTCTATTCTTATAGCAAAGACTCTGTAAATAAGAACTGTCTAATTTTTTTCTTCTTGCTTCTTATATGGCGGTAATATTTGATGTTATCGTGCATTGTTGTTTTTTAATAACACTATAGATGATAGCTCATAGGGTAGTTATTTGATATTATTACTGTGCTTCTACTGCCATATTTCCTTCTGCTTATTTGCAGGGAAAAATGTTTACACGTTTACCAATAACTGAACTTTGCATAGTGTTTACCAGTGACAAATCACTTTACATTCATTATGTATCTGATTTTTAAACCAGCCTGTAAGTTAGAAAATATAAATATTGGATTTCTAAAACTATGGACTAAAAGATTATTCTATTTTCTGATCTTATAGATAAGGAAACTTTCAAAGACTTGCTCATGGGCATAGAGCTCGTTTGTGGACGTATTAGCACCATTTTAGGGAGACTTGCAGAAGCTACAGACTTACCAAGAGCAGAGTTAGCAGGGCAGAGACCAGACAGGCATTCAAAGCCAAGCCTTCTCGTTTGACAGCCCATATTAGCCATATTATGATGGTGTTTTATATTTACTCTATTTTTTCAAATTGGGTTTAAATTTCTGAAAAAAACGTCTTGGCTTATTTAAAGAACTTCATGTGGCTTTACTGCAACAGACTATGCTCTATTTCCTCCATTTATTGTATTTTTTTAAATTGCATCTATCAGGTGGAAAATTTAATATCTCTTGCTATTTTTGCAAACTATTGTTGACCTCAATCTTGGTCTGAGCTTATACCGGAAGTGGGGTGAGGGGTTAGGAATGTTTGGACTGAAAATACCAAATACTGATCCTTGGCACCAACTGACCTTCATAAGTGCCCAGGAAATTTCTTAGAAGACTGACATCCAAATGAACTAAATTGCTTTACAGAGAGGCTGCAGTCAAAACTGAGCACACGGCATTTAAAATGTATCATGAAGTAGTTCCTGCTTTGTGTTTCTAGTTTCTCAAATAACAAGTTGGCCATTAAATAGATCCAGAAACATTCATTTATTTTATGAAAATAATCAGGTAATAAACCAAAATGAATTACCATCACTTTTCTACTTTTGAATATCAGCACCTCAATGTCACATCAGAAACCCAGTTCATATCACGTTTTGTGTTCATATGTTTGCCTCACCCGTGGCTTTGTAAAAAAAATTACTGCATTTTGAAAAAAATATATTACTTTCCACATATGGAGAAACATATCATGTACTTTAGAGTACAAATATAAATAAAAATACTAAAGTCCTTGTGAGGAAGGACAGGACACTAAAGAAAGGTTAAGCAGCAGAATTGGTTTCAATAGTTCGAGCTGGTTGAGCAAACTGAAGTCTATTCAAAGGCAAATCTATGCACGAGGTCTCCGGGGAGCCTGTTTGCATAACGAGAGATGTTTCTGCTCCTCTACCTTTGGAACAGGTGTGGTTGGCACAGAAAATGCCCACATGACTCCTGTGTTAGTTTAGTTGTATTTGGTAGCAAAACAAAGCAGCTCATTAATTTTTTTTTTTTTTTTGGCTGAGGGCTGGTTATGCTGCTTTATAAGCATGAATCCATCGAATCTTCACAACCTGAATATGGATATGAAGATCGATATTTACGTAGTCGTAACGGAGTCTCACTGCTTGGCAGGAAGCCAGCTCTGCCAGGTGGATGAGCATACAGGAATTAAGGGATGATGGTAGGGTCCGTAACTGTGTGGAAGGGACAGAAGCAGACTTGGACAGAGAGGAGCTGGTGGCCTCCATCAGCACTGAGGACCCCCAACTGGAATGGCCATCCGGAGGTATTGTGAGTTGAGACAGAGTCATGTCCTTATCTCATTGCAGTGACCAGTCATGGGGTGTTGGCGGCCCTTGGAAGAAATGATATGACCTTGAGCAGGTCAGGAGGCTCCCGGTGGCTGTTCTTGGAGAGAACTGACATCTGAAATCTCCCAGATGGCAACCTCCTCAGAAGTTAGGAACCTGAATCATTTGGACCTAAAAGAGATCCCAGTGTTACCAAACAGCTGCCCATGCACTGTTGGGGTTCACTTGGTTCCTATAATTTACTCCTTCAAGATTCTGCTGGGTCTCTTTTCCTGGGGGGAAGTGATGAGAGGATGGTTAATGAGTCAAAGCTCTGAACTTAACAGCCTCTGTGGCTGTCACTGTTTACACGGCGGCAGCTGAGACTCATCTTCCCCCTCCTCTCCTGCTCATCCTCAACGCCCCTCACCCTTGGCCCTAACCCATGTTGGTCCAAGAATCTTATCTTGTAAGGTACCGAGGACTTCATCCTCAAGAAATCTAAATTTTTGGTTCTCATGGCTTTAGCAGGCTATAGCTTCTGCCTCTGTCCATTCACTGTCAACACTGGACAGGTGTGTGCATCAGTGATGCCCAAGTGGGTAACAATGTACAATAGGATCAGGTCCTTTATCCTCCCCACCCTCACCGCAGGGAAATGATTCTTCTCACTTGTTCTTTTAGCGAGCAAAGCCTGAAATCTCTGGCTTCCAGTTGCAATTTTATGTTTGATATTATTTCGGTGACCTACTCTGTGGTAGCTTTTCTCCTTTGGGACCCAGGACTTCTAAAGCCCACAGAGCTCAGGATATTGGCATGTGAGGCCACTTCTTCTACCTGTAGAATCCCAGACTTATGTATTTTACCTATTGGAGGACACAGCACCATGCAGTGGTCACTAATTTAATGAGTATACTAGCCTGAAGGATTTACCTATTGGAGGACACAGCACCATGCAGTGGTCATTAATTTAATGAGTATACTAGCCTGAAGGATTTACCTATTGGAGGACACAGCACCATGCAGTGGTCACTAATTTAATGAGTATACTAGCCTGAAGGATTTACCTATTGGAGGACACAGCACCATGCAGTGGTCATTAATTTAATGAGTATACTAGCCTGAAGGATTTACCTATTGGAGGACACAGCACCATGCAGTGGTCACTAATTTAATGAGTATACTAGCCTGAAGGATTTACCTATTGGAGGACACAGCACCATGCAGTGGTCACTAATTTAATGAGTATACTAGCCTGAAGGATTTACCTATTGGAGGACACAGCACCATGCAGTGGTCACTAATTTAATGAGTATACTAGCCTGAAGGATTTACCTATTGGAGGACACAGCACCATGCAGTGGTCACTAATTTAATGAGTATACTAGCCTGAAGGATGGTGTCCCTTGTGCTGTGACTGCACCTTCAATGGGC